CTACCCAGAGGGACCAAGTAGTTGAACCTGTGGGCTCAGCACCATAGTCGCAGAGGACATCAAGCTCAATTGCTATAACATACTACACAAAACATTGTTCCACCTTCTACTGTGGTGAGTATCGACTGGGATCTTAAGAGCTTGTAAGCTGCCATCTAGATGCAATGATGGGTCTCTCCTCATCCAGAGCCAAGAAGAATGAAGAAAACCAAAAATTTATGGAAACAGTAAGTCCTAGCAACTGGTACACCATCTGATCTTAAGCCTATATGACTATGAGACTAGAAGAACTAGATGGTGCCCAGTTACTACTGTCAACTACTTGGAAAAGGATCTATGTAGGAGATCCTGGATAGACAGGGAGAAAAATGTGGAACAAAACTCAAAATCATTTGGGAAAATAAAAAAGGTGGTGGGGACCAGGTTTGCTGGCCCAATAGAGCCTGGTGGAACCACTGAGACTATGGCCCCTAGCTGCCCTTCAGGTCTGGAATTGAATGCACACCTGTGGCTTCCAGCCAAACAATAGACAGGCATATGAGTTGAACATTTACCTGAGGTAGATACACTCCTTGGAGAGAACAAGCACGGGAGAAGGAAGGGCTGCTTATGCACAGGGAGACAGCTAAGGGGGCAGGAGTGAATGGAGGGATGGACACAGGGAAGAGGTAACTATCAGGAGGAAGTAGGAGGGGAGATGTTGCATTGTGGTAAATTGTGGTCAATGTCATGAGACAAGGTGTATGTGAACTGCTATATGGAAAGTGTATTTGCTCTGTAAATTTCCACCCAAATCACAATAAAAAGAAAAGAAAAAGAAAACAGACAGGAAAGGAAGAAAAGACTGAAATGGATGTCAGAAGAGACTCTGAAAATTACTCATGAATGCAGAGTAGTCAAAGCAAATGGAAGAAATGATGAGATAAAACAGCTGAATAGAAGATTTCAAAGAGTGGCTTGATAAGACAAAGTCAATTATTATAATAAAATGTGCAAAGACCTGGAGTTAGAGAACCAAAAGGGAAGAATGCGTTTGGCATTTCTTCATTTCATTTCTTCCATTTGCTTTAGCTACTCTCCATTCAAACGCAAGTTTCAGAGTCTCTTCTGATATCCATTTTGGTGGTTACAGCAGTATACTGACAGAGAACTTGCAGAAATTCAAGGCAGATTCAGAAGAAGATGTGGAAAGAGAGATACCATTGCTGATGTTAGATGGATCTTAGCTAAAAGCAAAGAATACCAGAAAGATGTTTGTTTACCTATGTTTTATTCACTATGCAAAGGAATTCAACTGTGTTGATCAAAACAAATTATGGATAACATTGCAAAGAATAGGAATTCCAGAACACTTAATTGTGGTCATGAAGAACTTGTACATACACCAAGAGTCTGTTTTGCAAACAGAACAAGAGGATACTGAATGGTTTAAAATCAGGAAGGGTGTGCCTCAGAGTTGTATCTTTTCACCATACTTACTCAATCTGTATGCTGAGCAAGGATTGTGAAGATGGTGCATGATCAGGCAGGGTTTTTTGTTCTGTTGTACACAGGATTGCTATGAATCAGAGTTGACTCTATGGTGCCTAACACGAAAAACAGTCTTATATCCAGATAACTGGGTCTGTTTTGTCCTTGCTTTGAAGCTGGACTTCTAAATGCCAGCTCTACACAGGTCTCTTTTAAAGACTTTCACTCTGATTCTAACATAAATCTAAGTTACTGCCAATAAACAAATGAAGAGATACTCAACATCTTAGCCATCAAGGAAATGCAAATCTAGTGAGTTCCAATTCATAGTGACCCTATGTACAAGAGAATGAAATAGACAGTGTTCTGCTGCTATTCATAAGGTTTTCTCTGGCTAGTTTTTTCAGAAGTATATTGTCAGGTCCTTCTTCCTAGTCTGTCTTAGCTTGGAAGCACCACTGAAATGTTCACCATGAGCGACTCTGCTGGTATTTGAAATGCCAGTGTCATGGCTTCCAGCATCACAGCAACACGTAAGCCATCACAGTACAACAAACTGACAGATGAGTGGTAGATCAGGAGGAAAAAAAAAAGAATATTAATATTTCCTTCCATCCCTCCATTTTCTTCTGTAAAGCTGTATCTTCAAACGTGGATGCACACTTGAATCACATGAGGAAACTTTTAGAATAATATTGATCCCCAGGCCCTATCCCCACAGATTCTGATTTAATTAATCTATGTTGGGGCCCAGGCATATGCAGCCAGGGTAAGAATCCACTGCTCTAAAAGGAATGAACAAATAACCTGAAAATATATTGAGCCTTACTAGTCATCAAGGAAACTCCAGATAAAATGACTTTAAGTGAACATTAAAAACAATAGACTATGTTGAGCATAAGAAGCCAGACACAGAAGGTTATATGCAATATAATTCTACTTACATGAAATTCTAGGACAGGCAGAAATTAGAACACTGGTTTCTCTATGTGCGTGTTTCTGTGTGCATGCAGGTGTGTGTGTGTGTGTGTGTGGCGGGGGTGGGAGATTATTGGGAGGGAGAGCAGGACATGCATATTGACAGCATATAGGCATGATAGACATTTTGGGGATAACAGAAACATTCAATCTCTGTATATATGTATACATTCAATAAAATATGTGAAAATCAGAATTTTGTCAGGCAGAAAGGTGTCAGAGAAGGAAAATAAACATATTTTCCACTAGAACAAGTGATAGAAAACTGTAACTGTCAACAAGTACAAATCTTGTGAGACCTGGAAAAAGAAGGCAGTCTCTTCCAGTTCTGGCTCTCACAGGTTTCACTGTGCATGTGTATATACACACACTCCCTTGACCACGGTTTCTACATTTCTCAAGGATATCATGATCAAAGCAAGACAATGAATACCAATAACTGAAAAATATTCTGTTACAAAATTTTAAACAATTGTTTTTAAATCATTATCACCAATATCATCACAGTAGGTGGATAAGAACCTTTGAGAACAAGAAATTTCAACCTATAGAAGGAATAGAGCAGAAGGCTGCAGAGACAGGATCAGAGAGGTGTGTGATAGAGAAAGAATTAAAAATATTAAAAATAAATAAATATGAATAATAGTTCTTATGGGTGACAGACACTGTTCTAAGTGCTTAACATACACAAATTCACTTATGAATTCACCACCCTTATGACAGAGTACTGTTTTCTGCCCATTTTAAATATGAGAGTCCTGAGGCACAGAGAGGTTATATAACGTGCCCAAGGTCATATATCTAGCTTCTAGTAGAAGCAGGATTTGTACCCAGGCAGTGGGCTCCAGAGTTCACGCTCTGAAATATTATGCTACACTCCAGAAAGGAGGAGGGTAGGAGGAATATGAAGGAATGATGAGCAGAGAATGGAGAAAAGATCAGGAAGCTCAGAAACATAAATTTTTATTGAATACCTACTGTATGCCAGGGCCTGTGGATAAAAAAGAACTAAGACTTTAAAAGCTCATGGCTTTAAAAAGACTATAGCTTAGTGAGGAGGACATATGGTGAATCACATTATGTATTTCAAAAAATATAAGTTTTGAAATAAGTACACAGAGGAATATACAAAGGGCCATAGGGAAACAAAGAATGAGCACTTCACATAACTCAGGTTGGAGGTGTCAAGAAAAGCTTCTCAGGACAAACAGGGGACTCCTACTCTCAGAAAAATGAATTGAATGGAAAGAGGGTAGTCTAGGCTGAGGAAAGTGATGAGGGGAAAGAAGGTCTGGAAGTAAATGAGAAGGGAACATCAGGGGAAAAACAAGAAGTTAGGTAGCACCAGAGCTGAAAAAATATTAATTCCCTTCCCTGTCTTGCTCTTGGGAAGAATTTGGACCCCGTATCTCCTTAGTAAGAACCCCATGGATAGAACTTCTGGGAAGAAGAGAAAATATTGGCCCTCTTAAAAATGGCTTCAGGGACCATTCCACTATGTGGTGCTGGAGCTGGCTCAGGGAAAAACAGATACTGTTCATAGTTTTCTTTCAAAGGGGAATGGTTTTAAACAACCTAGGTGCCCATTGACAGAATAATGGATAAATTATGGTACTTACACATCATGGAATACTATGCAACACTAAAGAACAATGCACAATCTGCCAAACACTGAAGAACGTGGATGAACTTAGAGGATGTTAAACCGAGTGAAATAAGTCAATCACAGAAAGACAAATACTCTATTAATTCATTACTGTAAAAAGTGAAGGAAATATTTATAATATGGAAGGAAACGTTCTCTGTTGGTTACCGGGGTGGAGGGTGGGGAGACAAGGAAACACTGCAATAAATAAATAAATAATTTTAAAAATGAATTAGACCAGGAAAAAAAAAAAAAAGGGCAGGGAGGGGATATGGTTTTTATTTACCTCACATGGACATCAAGCTGCTTCAACAACTGCCCATATTCTTCACATAGAGCTTCCTTCTCTTGCTGCAACCTAGACAACTTCTCTGACAATTCCTGGTTGCTCTTGAGATGCTGAAAAACATTTTTTTTATGATAATATTCTGTGCTGGTAGAGGCATGACATTGGAGGGAATGTAAATTGGTAAAAGTTTTATATTGAAAAAGGTTTACTGTGACTCCCCCTTCTGAGATCCCAGCAGCTTCCTGTGATTTCAGTACTTCAGATTTCCTGAAAGCCTGCTTCCCTTGACTTTCCATAGGGTTTGTAAGCACCTAATTCCCTATATTAGAAATCTTGCAGCTACAATGGAAACTCATATACATGTGGCCATGTTAAAGAATAACAAAGAATCTCTGAAAAACCTCATAATGTAAGATGAACCTGGAGGATATTGTGCTGAGTGAAATAAGTCAATCACAAAAGGACAAATATTGTAGAGTCTACTATTATAAAAAGCCAAGGAAAGGTTTTCATACACAAAGAAATATTATTTGATAATTACCAGGGATGGGGGGGAGGTAAAATTATTAACTAGAAAAGAGACATATATTAATTTGGGTGAATGAAAGGCAATATACAAAAAAGGGGTGATCAGACCAATATCACTAAGGAAAAGGAAGATATGAAATGGTGCATAAGATGTACAGACAACAAAGGTAAATACTATTACATACACCAAAAAAACCCCACAATAACCAAACTCACTGCCATTGAGTCCCTTCTGACTCATAGTGACCCCCATTGGGTTTCTGAGGCTGTAAACTTTTATGGAAGTAGATAGCCTAGCCTTCCTTCTGCAGAGCAGCTGGTGGGTTTGAACCGCTGACCTACTAGTTAGCAATCAAGTCCCTTATTCACTATGCCACCAGAGCTCCCTTATTACATACACACTCCTGCATTATCAATAACAAACTTTAATCTATGGGCGGATACATAGGTAGAGAGGCAAGATGATCAAGTATGGGCAGTTGAGTGGCACTATACCCATGACCATATATACGTTTGGCAGATGATATTTCTACACACATATCTGTATGTGCTGTAAAAATATCCATGTATACAGTAGAACTAACAGGGGGCAATGTTAAGAAAATGTCTTATCCATTACCCAACACCTGGAGGGAATGAACTGGTGGGCCTGGAGGCTCAAGACCATAGTTGCAGGGGACATCAAAGTCAAGTGGCATAACATAGTCCACAAAAACAGTGCTCTGCATTCTACTTTGGTGAGCAGTGAGTCTCAGAAGCTTTCAAGTGGCCATCTAAGGTTGCAAGTAGTGGTCTCTCCTTGTCTAGAGTAAAGAAGAGTCAAGAAAATTAAAGATGCATGGAAATAATTAGTCAAAGGGACTAGTGGACCATGTGACCCTCAGCCTCCAGGACTCTGAGACTGGAAGAACTAGATGGTAGCCACCGACAATCATTGTGAAAGGGGTTACAAAAAGAGGATACAATGGGAGAAAAATATAGAACAAAACTCAAAATAATAACAAAGACCAGACTAATCTGATACAGACTGGTGGAACTTCCCAGACTATGGCCCTCCATCACCCTTCAGGCCTAGAACTGAACTCACTACCATGGGTCAACTTTTAGCCAAAAAATAGTCAGACCTATAGGGTGAATAGTAACACCAGGGAGGTACACACTTCTTAGAACAATCAATCTTATGAGAAAAATGGTAACCATGGGAGGAAGTGGGAAGAGTAGAGATTGCATTCAATGTTATAAAAGAAAACATTTATGAACAGTTGAATGGAAAACCAATTTACTCTGTAAACTTTCAAATTACAATAAAAAGTTTTTAAAAAAATCTTCCAGCTTGAAGTACACAAAGTGTAATCTGTTTTTCCGACCTAACCCTAAATTATAAAGTATTTGATTTCAGAAGTGGCACCAGTAGAAATATGAGAATCTAGGATTAGTTATCTGACCTGGTTAATTTTGAAGGCAGTATAATTTGTCACCACTGCTAGTAATCTATAGCAAAAGCTGATACAAATTATCACACATAATTGCTTATGATTAAGTGTTTTTGGAGACCAAGTGACTGTACAAAGAATATTACAGTGAAATTAAGAACTACAAGGATTTCTGTGTGATCTGGCCAAATCTGACCATGTGCTTACAAGGAGAAAATAACCATGTTGATATGCTTACAAGGACTTAATTATTGGAACAAACACCATCAGAGACATAGAAAGCCTCTGTGAGTACCCCGAAAGAACCTCTTCTTCCTTGTAGCTAGCAGGCCAATGTATCAAAAACCAAATTCTAAATTTCATCAAGTAGATTTCAGAATTATAACACAACTTGAATCATAGTCTTGCCAGGTCTCTTATATGAAAAACAGGGTTTTGGTTGGTAATTCTTGGTGTTCTGGTTACCTAGTGCCGCTCTGACAGGAATATACCTCAAATGGGATGGCCTTAA